ACGCATTGAACTATTTTATAAACTTAAAAAACAATAAATAATTCATAAACTTCAATTAAAAAAAAAACAATTTGATGCCTATTTTAATACGTATTGAATAATTTTAATACAATTTGCTATAACATTTCTATTCATATTTTGTATAGTTCAATTTAAACATATTTTGAACATTGTAATTTAACAAAAAATATATATATAAATTTTAAAGACATAATTTAATAATCGTAATATTAATAAATTCGTCACAGATGTCGTAATAAAATATAACAATGACGCATTTACAACGAATAATGTGAACATTTATATTATCATTAACAATAGAGTTTATAACAGAACAGCTATATGCATATAATTATTATTATATTAATTACTATTTTGGTAAATTGACAAAACAATGTAAACATTAATGTCACTATGTTTTCATGTCATAAATTTACACAAAATTTATAAGTAAACAAAATTGAAAATACAAAAAATAAAAAAGTAAATATAAAATTAGAAGCTAAATTTCATTGTTTTTATTTAAAATTCTGTGTACTTGTTTTAATTTATAACCTTCTTAAAATAATATTTTTATTAATTTATTTATTACTTACATTATTTTTTGCTACATTCTATTCTGACGTAAATACATACATAATAATATCGTGAGAAGTATAAGTTAGTATGATATGCAATGAGTTTAATGACATTATAAAATTAATTAAATTTGAAACATAAATTAATGTTATTTATTTTTATAAAAATGTAAATAAAACTGCCTCGTTGGCCGAGTGGTCGCAAATGAGACTGCCGGGCAAGGGGCCTCGGGTTCGATTCCCGGGTCGGGCAAAGTATTACTGGGTTTCTAAAAATTCTCAGCAGTAGCACGGAGTCTGGAACTGTGCTCGGTATATGGGTATAGGCTCACCAACTGAGACTCATAACATAAATAGTGAAAAGTGGGTGTTACATTGTTCAGTGGCATTAAGTGCCATAATGTGCACCTGCTTACCCCTTCGGGGTTAAAGGCATGATTTATATGATGTTACGTAAATAAAATAGATCAAAGAATGTCGTGCATATAGTGACGTAATTATAGCTATATTTACAAGACAAGTGCGATTACATGAGACTTGGCGCCTGTTACGTCGCCTTCATATTTATTTATTTATTTATTTTACACTTTAATGCACACAAAATAAGGTACATAAGGCGGACTTAATGCCATATGGCATTTTCTCCCAGTCAACCTTTGGGTTAAATGTAAGCTCAGCGAAAATGGGCCTGTGTTATATCCAAAAAAAAACAAAATAAGTAACTAATAGTAATAATAATAATAATAATAAATACTGTATAACATACTGTATAAAAATATATAATAAACACAAAATATGTATATACATAAATAACTTCATATATATAATTATAATATAATATAAATTGACGAAGATATAAATTAAAGAAGACACGAACTCAGCGTTGTAGCGCCTTTAAATAGGCCTCACGAACACTACGTTTAAATGCCATTTTGTTTGGAGCCATTTTTATACTATGGGGATTGAGTGAGAGTGATTTATACTATGAGAGATACAGTGCATTCCATAATTTAATTACACTAACTCTAAAGGAGTTAGAAACGAAGGAAGTGTGGTGAGACGGGATCTCTAGAAGCAAACTTTCAGCTGAACGGAGATTTCGGCTGTGAGAGCTGCCCAAAATCTGAAAGCCAGATTTTAGGTATTCGGGAGCACAAGGATCATTTAGAATAGAGAAGAGCATGCAGAGGGATCTAAGGGATCGCCTCTCACGGATAGGAAGCCATTTAAGCTGAGCGCGAAAGGAAGATTCATATCTGTGGCTCTAGTGAATAAGAGTATCTATTTAAGCCAGGTCGAAAGTGAGTTCATTACTGAAACAAAATAACCAGGAAAACATGCAACATCATTAAAGTTGTTTATCTATAATATACATCACACGTATATTAAGTAGCTGTTTAAAAATGATACCTGATTTTTTATGGCATAAGCCGGTAAACGAACAGGCGCTGAGACGCCTGTAAGCAATCGGCGTCGCCCATGGACACCTGAAACACCAGAGGTGTTACAAGTGCGTTACCGACCTTTTGGGGATTAGGAGTTTAAGGGTCGTTGGGGATTCAGGGATTGGGGAGATTGGGGAAGGGGAGGATAATTGGGCCTCAGGTAACCTCACTCACACGACGAAACACAACGCAAACGTTGCTTCACGTCGGTTTTCTGTGAGGCCGTGGTATCACTCCGGTCGAGCCGGCCCATTCGTGCCGAAGCATGGCTCTTCCACACTTAAATTTAAGACGCATGGAGCATTTTCTCGTGTCCGTGTTTTGCGCTTAGGTCCTTTTTTATGCAATAAGCCTGTAAACGAGCAGATGGATCACCTAATGGTAAGCATTGGCGCCATCTATGGGCTCCCGAAACACCAGAGGTGTTGTATGTACGTTACCGGCCTTTAGAGATTAGAAATCTTTGGGAGAGATTTTAGAGATTAGAAAGGATTATTGGGGATTCGAAGATTAGGGTAATTGGACCTCCGGTAACAATTCACACGACAAAATACGACGCAAGTATTGTTTCACGTCGGTTTTCTATGAGGCCGTGGTATCACTCCGGTCGAGCCGGCCCATTCGTGTCGAAACATAGCTCTCCTACACTTGAAACCCTTTTCACTAGTGGCACATATATTGGAATGGGTGTTCAAGTAAAGTCAGAGAAATGTACCTACTCAGAGTACGTTGTGTTACAAATTGTTGACAATAAGTCCCTATAAACGTATATGGCAGATAGTATACAAATTATAGGATATTGTATATTGAAATTGAACTGGTACATAGTGGCTATCTAGATATTGTCTAACAGGCGCTTAGAGAGAAACAGATACAAAAGTACTCCTACAAAGTTTTATTAGTAACTTGAAAGTTGTACCAATTTCTTAGAATAAAACAAATTACCCTACTTCAAAGAATAATGGCTGTCAAACAACAAGAGTATTCTACTTTATACTTGTTTTCATTTCGTTGATAGTAAGTTTTATAATGATTAAGATATTTTGTGTCAAAGTAAATAATTTTGCTTGTTGGTAATAGTGTCACAAGGGTCCGTCAAGAAGATTGGAATTGAAAGATTTATAAAAATGAAAATGGTTGTATTTTTTTGTCATTAGAAGATCTGTAAGCAAAAATAATGGTTTCAGTGTAATTTACTGTAATCATATTTGAAAATAATAACTAAATTGACGTATTACTCTTGGGAGGTGATAATACAACTAATTTCCAACAAAAAATTGTAAGAATTTACTTGCTATTGTAAAACGAATGATAATTTTATAAGAATTAACAGTATAGTATTCATAAATGTTTATTGATCAAACCAGTAGTTATTTATTAATTTTTTTCGGGACTTTTTTTAACAAAACCAATAATCTATCAGAAACTAGCTACTTTCTCACTGAAACCTCATTTTGTAGGAGATTAGTTATATTATCATCTCCCGAGAGGAATACGTTGAGTTACATACAACTCGCCCTGAAGTTAGTATAAAATATATTTTACATAACCACCACATAATGTTCTATTTTAAATTATGTTCTAATCAACTTAAGTATAAATGCATATTCCATTTGGTAACTACAAAATAACACTGATATGTTTTATTCCAAAACAAATCAAAACGTAGTATTAAAAAAACTATTATTACAAATCTATTTTAAAATATTTATAAAATATTAATGTAAAACATATTATTAAAAATTGTAAATGATATTTTACGACAAAATATCGATATGGTTCATCTATCACCTAAAACAAATGTACAGATCTTATAGATAAGACTATTTTAATATTTTGTGAGTATAATAACATAATATTAGATAAGTGATAGTGCTTTCAAGTGATATGAAGAGATTTTTTGTGATATGTAGTCATCTAGAGAAGTGAATAGAAAGACAGACAGTGTCCAAAAGATGCTAGAAGTATTAGTGTATAACGAAAAAAATACTCCAAATACCATTGAAAAAGTAATTTACTTAATCGCTAAACAAAAACACGATACTAATAAATTTAATTCCATAAAAACTTATTTTAGAAGAAATAATAATAAAGTTAGCATAACAATTTGAAACCAGCAGTTTCATCATATTGTGCTGTGTAAAATTATTTGATCTTTTAGTCTATAGCTAAAACTTGTATAACAAATTCATAAATATTAATGAAAACATTGAAGTAATTCAAGTATGAAATTGAATTTTCTTGGAACCATCAACTTATTAAAAGTCAAAGTAAAATAATTTCTGCTTCAATTCGGTTCAATCTTTGGAAAACGACTGCCTATTTATAAATTATATAATAAAATACTACAAGTTAAATAATATATTATAACTGTATATTTATTTTATATAATTTTGTACAATGTATATACACTCTCACTAATGGTCCTTTTACCCAAAGATCCTTGGACGGTTCAAACTTCAGTTAAGGATCTCACACCAGTTCTGGATAAGCAAGAATTAATTTTTAGTATAATCCATAACAGTAACCCTTCATGTTGATTAAACTTTGGGGTTCTAAGGTTAAAACGAATTCGTAGGGGGTTTGTAAAAGGTATTCGATGGAAGAACTTAATAAAATAGAATGGTACGTGTGTATTTGTGATTGTTGTTTCAAATTACTTTTACCTTAATTAAAAGAGGAGACTTTCAGTTTTTTGCGGTCTTGGTTTAGAGTAAGTTACCAAAGAAGGAGGTTATAAGGATTAAAATCCTTATAACCTCCTTCTTTGAATTTTCTAGTGCACGATCTTTCGTTGGATGCTATGTACCTATTCCATCGCCTTAAGAAAATATAATCACAATCCATAAGAATAGATCGTGGGCGAAGACTTAGACGATACCAAATTACAGATAAAATGCAAGAACCAAAGTCACATAATATAAAATTTCATCTTCAACAACAAAATCGATAATTTAAAAATACTCATACATTTTGGAACATCGTTACGTAACGATAACCAAAGGTATATAAAATATAGTGATCGATGTTGAACTCCGGTGAATATTTAAAAGTGTTTCAGACAAAAGGCGGTTGCCGACCGGAACGGGGGCGTTAATGGAGCAGGACGTTCTTTTGGTCCCAGGCCGGCCCACGGCGTATCTCGTTAGACTACCTAACCTGTTTCATAATAAAAGAAAAAAATGCCAGCTTTTTGCCCGAGGCAGATACTCTGTATTACGAAAATTCATCCTGTATGAAGCATTAAGAGCCATTACACTCTTTTATAATGTTTGTCACTTTTTACCCTGGCGTTAGAATCTACCTTTGAGATAGGTCATAAAATGCAACAATATTTTCAGTATAGTAGATAGCTTTCAGTGACGCATTGCGTGTCTGAGTATTTCATAGTAATTAAATATTGACATGAGAAACGCGACTACGGTTGTTTAATTTTTAACACGAATCCAACATCGATGTCTCTGATAATATCTGACAAATAAAAAAATAACAGGAATCAATAATATCTAAAGATGGGTGCTGACAAGGGAATTTGTTCAGAATCGCCAAGGATAAGAAGTCCTTTAAGTGCAATTTCTCGTTAGTTTCAGCGCACTACATTTCCTTGTTCATTATTAGATGCAGTTGTAAGCAATCTTTCTATTATATAAAAGAGTTGTCCACCGAATAACTTCCAGAGATATTTACAGATAAGTGACGCAATTAGGACCCAAAGAACCACAAATATACGTCATATTTAAAGACCAATTCTTGCCATCCAGACCTTCAAATCGATTTCCCTGTATCGTCTAATTAGGTCACCTTATGTCTTCATATCGTGTGCCGAGCGCTACCAACAACGATGTTAGTAACAAACTCAAATAGCTTGTTGTTGTTTTTACACCACTCTGTAGTTCAGCCAGACTTGATCCTGTGAACAAAGAAAATGTTTAGAATTTTGCAATTCTCATTTATTAGTTTATTTTTCGTCTCAAATAATGTATGTAGAAACACATTTCAATATTATTTCCTAGGTCTTTCATAAAATCTTATGAAATGACACTCGAATCACTTATTTACATTACTTGTGAAAAGTATTACATTATTCTAGGTACACATCAATTAAATAATGATTTTAATTTATAGCATAAACGTAGTGCGTGGGCGCGGGCGCTCTCCAGCTAGGTGGAGTGACGATATACGTAAGGTAGTGATTGGATGCATAGAGCTGCAGATCGAGCTCAGTGGCGTGCCATTGGAGAGGCTTATGTCCAGAAGTGGACGAAAACAGGCTGTTGATGAGATGTTATAATATCCTAGTTGTTTATTTATACAGATCTGCTACGCTAATTAAAAGCAAAATCATACAATATTAACAGCCAGTCTGATATAAAAACAGCAATCCGACTACCAGCTCATTGCCCCCTCGGTGTTTTCATGTAAAAAATCACCAGGCTCTATTCACAGTAAACGCATAAGCATACTTGCTAAACCAATAATTGATATTCAACGTATTTATCGAAAACCGCACCCGAGTATTTTATTAATGGCATTCAGTATAAATGAGCCGCTTAAACGGGGTCAGTCATGAAATCAGCGTGTAATTAATTTATCGACACTCATTTTATATTTTTGTTTTTGTTCAAAAGCTTGTGGTTAAGTTATTATTGAGAATATGCTACGCTAGTGTCGTTTACAAATGGACTAATGTGAACATAAAAAGGATTTCACTGCCTCGATGGCCGAGTGGTCGCAATTGCTACTGGGCAAGGGGTTTCAGGTTCGTTTTCCGGGTCGGTCAATGTATTACTGAATTTAAACAAAAATCTCAGTGGTAGCGCGGAGTCTGGAATTGTGCCCATTAAATAGCAATAGGCTCACCCAATATTACATGAGACTCATAACATAGTGAAAAGTGGGTGTTACATTGTGCTGTACGTCTGCCTACCACTTCGGGTAACAAAGGCGTGATGTTATGATATGTTTACAAAGAATTTGACTTCTTACAACTGTTCTTTTTGTTTTTGTTGTTTGTAATAGAAAACGTGAATACTTTTGTACTTAATACAATACATAACAGAAAGATGAATTAGGGGATCACGTAAAATATTGCTCTGTACTTAAATTGAAGTCTGTGTAAACTTTGCACAGTAACTGGTCAGCCAGCCACACAGCCCGTCTCCAGTATTCATACAAATTATTATTATAAGTATGACTGCCTCATTGGCCGAGTGGTCGCAAGTGCGACTGCCGGGCAAACTATTACTGGGTTTTTAATAAATAAATATTCTCAGTAGTAGCACAGAGTCTGGAATTGTGCCCGGTATATGGCAATAGGCTCACCCCCTATTACATGGGACTCATAACATAAATAGTGAAATAATTTTTACATTGTACAGTGGCGTAATATGCACCTCTGCCTTCCCCTTCGGGGATAAAAGGCGTTATCTTATGTTATGTTATGACTGTGATTAAGACTTGAGCTTAGTATACATAATTTCAACTAGTATTTTATGAAGGTGATAGGATCAGAACTAAAAAACGTATAACTATATCATTACGCAAAAAGATACTAAAAAACTGTTATTCTTAGTATCTTTTATCGAGTGAATTAAACAAGTTAGTCAGAAACACACTCTTATATCTTTTTAAACAAAAGAAGAACATAAATAGGTTTCCCTATTGAAAGTGGCCAGCTTGCCACAGATAACATAAACAATTTATTTTATAGCATAAACCGGTAAACCATCAGATAGATCACCTGATGGTAAGCAATCCAACATCCAACATCAAGGCGTTACAAGTGCGTTACCGACCTTTTGGGAATTTCGAATTTGAGGATGGTGGAGGATTCAGGGATTCAGGAGACGGGGACTTGGTAATTGAAAAGGGGTAATATATAACAGAATGGATATATAGTTTTTTCTATAGTACCCGAAGAAACTAAACCAGTTCTATCGATTGATAAACAAGGAAACAATGCTAATATATGAAACTACGTTCCATAGAAATTGCACAAACAGACAAATATCAAATATTAGCTATGTGCTCAAATATTTGAATACATAGCCTCATGATTGCAAATACGAGTGAGTTTATAACTGACTAGAATTTGTTTACAATATATTGTTTTATTTTGCATTGCAACGTATAGTACTAGCATATTTTTTAGATACCTAGTCTTTTCTTTGATTGGACTTTCATTATAACTGTTGTTTTGTGACTTATGTGTTGTGGCATTGTTGCTTCGGTCTACTTTCATCAATTGATGAATATCGAAATTGTCACCACTTCTCGAAATAATACGAGACTTATATACCTAATTGTTCAAGCCTTTCAGTCCGGGCTACCTGTCCTTCTAGTTCCAATGTCTCAAGATTCAGACGAACTGTGAGCTAAGTAGTTCATACCATAGTATGATTGTAAGAGCATCAGTATTTGGGTTGGTAGCGCAAATCTGACGAATTTTGTTATGAAAACATAACATAGAATCAGAATCAGATTATTTTTATTTGTACATAACATCACACCTTTTATCCCCGAAGGGGTAGGCAGAGGTGTACATTACGGCACTTAATGCTACTGTACAATGTAACACCCACCTTTCACTATTTATGTAATGAGTCCCACGTAATAGGCTCACTACTGCCATATACCGGGCACAATTCCAGACTCCGTGCTAGTACTGAGATTTTTTTTAAAACCTATTGATACTTTGCCCGACCCAGAAATCGAACTCGAGACCCCTTGCCGGCAGTCGCAATTGCGACCACTCGGCCAACGAGGCAGTCATTTTGCCTTTCCTTGAAAATCAGTAGTAATACGAAATTATAAATCACTAGCAATTATAATATTAAAATTACATTATATTCTACAATTATAATGATGTGGCTTTTCTATGTTGATTTTCATAATAATTCGTTACACTAGTATTTTTGATTCCAAATTACAAGTAAGTACCAATTAAAATTACTTTAAATCCAATTAAAATAAAAAGGCAAATAATGTTTAGTAACAGGATATAAACTACACAGGACAGGACAGGACTAACAGTATAATACTACTTTGTTCTGGAAAAAGCATGTTTTGTTCGCTTCGCAATTTGGGCCAAAGGAAATCAGGTGTCAATGCGAACAAATGGACGATGTGTTGAACAGAGACAGGAGTTTAATCGATTCGGTTAATTGCCTTGGAAAGAATGCCGAAATGTTTCGGCATTTCGACCCGGACCCCAATGACCCCCAAATACCCCTTGTTAGTTTATTTTATTAACTATAGGTAGGTACATTTTAGGTGCATGGAATAGGTATTGGTGATGAAAAGAGGAAATGGGTTTTTTTATACTCTATGTGTAGCTGGTTTGACAGATGTTGAAGTATGTTTTTTATAATCCTCTTACGTTTTTTTACACTGAGAATTGTATTTAACCCATTTGGATCTGCCGTCCCCATACGGGGACAGGTCTTCTTTTACCCGCTGGTTATTAATTTTTTTAGCTATCTTCAATTTTCATTAGTATTTTTTATGAGGAGTAGTGTACTTTCCTAAAATTATTAGAAGTTTTGACAAATTGCTACAAAAAGGGGGTCATATTGACAATTTTATCAAGAGGAAGTGAAATGGGAATTATTATCGAAAGCAGAGCCGTTTTATAGTATATTACTATGAAGAATTATAAAACTTTTTTGTGATTATTGCTTGCTTATAGTGTCATTTAAAACAATATTGAAGAATATCCTTATACTTTCAATTCCGCTTAGGGGAAAGTTAGAAAATATTATGATGTCCCCGTTTGGGGACAATGGGCACATCTGTAGTTTATTTTTAAAACATTTATACCTGATTTGTATTTTGTTTACCAATTTATAAAGGTCACCTATAGGCTAAACTTAGTTATAGCTAATACTTGGTGACTACATACGCTAATTCACGAAAAGCATCACCAATCCTATATCAAGTCTTATCTTTACGCGTTCATATTTAAAATCTGATGGGCATCAAGATCGACGATGCAGAACTCCATCTACAGTACCAGGCGTCGCATCCGATATCAGAATTCAGCGGTAGGGGGCATTTCCTCCAGCTGTATTCTGGTGTCGCCACAGCGAGGTCCACCCAGAGGATAGAGTAGCATTATGCCCTGTATACATTGAGCACCACCGTCTCCTCCGGGAAGTGATCGATGACGATAATCTTCAACGTCCAGCTTTGGTTCTGGTGGTGCGGAGCGAGGGGGGAACTGGAAAACCATCGCTTTCTGCGAAGCAGTCATAGTAGCAAGAACAGATCGCCGCCCAGAACCAGACCTGAACCTATAAGGCGCGTGGCGTTACGCGCGCGCTTCAAAGTGCTATCAGACCGCCTTAGATCGAGATGGCTCAGTAGGACAGATGCCCGACCACTATGAATAACCTAGTGGGTCACCGGGGCTTCGGCTTGAAGCAGAATTAGGAACGTGTTGGTTTTAGCCAGTAAGAGCCCCCAGATGAAAAACGCAATGCATGATTTTTACCCGCAAAAAAAAATACAGGCGCGTCACATCAAATTGATTTAGACATTTTCCGCAGAGATTTAGTTAATATCTGTTCCGACACGCAATTCTTCATAAAAAAACTGTGATATCAATGCAAATAATGCGTTAGAACCTTATGTGTCGAAAACAGTTACTACTTCGAAAAGTACTACACATGAGCCCATTGTCCCCAATCAAGGACGGCATTTTTTTTAATACTTCTAAATATATTTTTTGAATTTTTTTTGCTGATATTAGTTTGTGGGCGTCATTTCATTGAGTTAATAAAGTTTTTTTTATTAAATTATGTGTAGTTTACATTTGGTCCCAAATGGGTTAAAGTAAGTAGCATATCTAAGTAGGTGTTGTAATGGCCCCAGGTTAAGACACCCGCTTCTATTTTATGTAGTTGTGGGTTC